TTTTTTTGGCCTCCACCAAAATATTTAGGTCTCAGTGTTGAAATGTTTTCTCAGCCATTCCTTTCATGGTAAAGGTCTTGCCTCTGGTCGGCCTGCAGCTTCTCCGTGGAGTTGGCATCTCCCCACTCCCCAGCTGTGGTCCACCCTTGCCAATGGAGAGGCCGTGGGAGAAAAATTCAGACCAGCAGGCTCTGATCTTTTACAGGGGCGCTGGAGCTGCCCCACCCATCTTCTGGTCCAGGGAGAGCTGGGCCTCCTGCCTGGTCACCTTGAGAGCGAGGCAGCCAAACCACACCAAACTCACTTGCCACTGAGTCAAGGCTGGCTCATCGCGAGCCCACAGGACAGGGTAGAGACCTGTCCCTGTGGGTTTCCGAGACTGTAGCTCTTTACAGACATAGAAAGCCCTGTGTTTCACCCGCTGAATGGCTGGTAGGTGCCCACATCTGGCCTTGGGGTTCACAGCTCAGTATGTGAACCCATACTGAGTGAGCCCACTGCCACCAGGCCTCCTCACCGGGAACAAAAAGCTCAAATACTTGCTGTGACCCTATCGGACAGGGTAGAACTGCGCCTGTGGCTCAGGAGTAGAAAGCCTATCTTTTTCCTGCAGAACAGCTGGTGGTTTCGAACTACTGACTTAGCAGTGAGCGGCCCAATGCATAACCACTATGCCACCAGGGTTCTTATGGAGAAAGAGAGGTGTTGCTGAATTACAGCAAGACAACCAGTGTTCTCAGATCATGGCTCTCCTTTCTCTCACCTCCACTTTCTGGAGCACTGGGCATAGATGGAAGGACTTCTTGTCTGTTTCCATCGTGGCCGGGTTTGAAGTTCCAACAGCACATATTCTCTGGGCCTTTAGGAGGGCAGACATGTGGTCTCCCTCCCTCCCTCTGCCCCCTTCAGGCCTGTACACATTAGAAGAAACTGACCTGCCAGTGATCCCCAGGCGGTGGGCTGGGGTGCCCCTCCACCCCATCACTCCCCACCTAAGGTAGGAGCCTGACCTGGAAATACCCACTTCTGCTTGGCATCATGAGAGCAGCTGTAGACATTATGTAAGGAAATGGGCATAGCCGTGTTATTTACCAAAACAGACCCTGGGCCAGATGTAGCCTAAGGGCTATAGCTGGCCAACCCCTGCTGGCACCCATTGCCATTAGCGGTGCCAACGTGCACAACCCTGTAGGGCACAGTGGAACTGCCCCATCAGGCTTCCAAGGCCGTCGCCATAGCCCTCTCCCGTGGAGCACAGGTTCGGCCCAGACCGTCCACCTTTCAGTTCTCGGCTGTGCACTTTAACCTGGGCGCCACCAGGTCGCTTTCCTGGCCCTTCCATGACATCTCATAACCAGTCAGGAACCTCGATGAGGCAGGCGGCTCACGATTGGCCACTAACCTAAAAGTTGGTGAATCAGACCTACGCAGCGGTTCCACGGAAGAAAGGCCTGGCACACTGCTTCCATAAACATCACAACCAGCACGTGGGGTCATCCTGGGGGGGGGGGGGGGCGCGAAGGGCTGGCCCTGGCAGCCAGCAACACAGTAGTGCCTTGTTGTCAAAGAAGGAGAAGGCAACTTAGTAAATAGAGCTGGATGCAGGAAGGGCTCGAAGTGGTTACGGAGTGAATGCATGAACCTGGCACACTGACGGCATGACCCTCCCCACACACACACACTCCCCCATACACACATGAGCCTGGCCCTCCCCCTTACGAAGGGGTGACCGGCAGGCTCGGTTCCTCCCTGATGCGAGAGGAGCGAGGTAGGGTGAGGTAGCCCCTCTAACCACGCCCTTGTTCCCTTGGCTTTCAGAAGAGGCGCTGAAGCTGCACAACGGGCCACCCCATGGCGCCTACATGGAGCAGAACTTCCAGGGCCTGAACCCCGTGCTCAGCCTGCCCCTGAGCCCCGCGCAGGTGGAGCAGGCGCGGCGGCACGCAGCCTCCACAGGCGCAGTGCTGGAGGGCTGGCTGGACTCCCTGGTGGGCAGCATGTGGACCGCCATGGACATCTGTACCACCGGCCCCACCGCCTGCCCCGTCATGCAGGCCTGCAGCCAGACTGCCTGGAGCTCCTTCAGCCCTGACCCCAAGTCGGAGCTGGGGGCCGTCAAACCCGATGGACGCCTCAGGTAGCACTGGGCCGGTGGGCCACGACAGGATCCCAGCCGAAAGCACCCAGCTCATGGTGGGGCCTCGCTGGGGTGCCCCTGGAGCCCAAGCAGGGCTGCCCATGACTGACCTTTGCCAGAGCAACTCCTGGGAGCGGGGCTGCTGCTTCCAGGTATCCTGGCAGTCTCAGCACCTCTGGGCGACCCTCAGCCCTACGGTTTCCCTTTCCGCCCCTTCCAGGGACCTCGCCCACACACAGGCAATTTTTTAGACCTTTGTTTTCAGCAACAGGACCCTGGGCACGAAGTGGAAGTTCGGGAACAACTGAACCCCAAGGGCTGCGGGTGAAGCAGCAGGGGTGGGGTTCTTCTCCCAGCTCAGCCCCTGGTGGCCCCCGGGCCCAGGGCACCCCACGAGTCACCTCTTCAGAGCCCAAGGTCTCTGCCAACCCCAGTTTGACAGCACTGCCCAGACCATGGGGCCCAGCTTAGCCTGCCCTTTGGCTCGCCTCCCTGATCCTCCTGGCCAGGAAATCCTTGTGACAGGCCTCTGGAAGTCACAGTCACGAGTCCTCCCCCGCAGGACAGCAGGCTGGGAAGGGCCTCAAGCCTTCCCCGACCCACCTCCTTTGTAACCAGCTGGGCAGGACAGCCTTGGGAAGGGGCATGGCTGAGGTCACCCAGAAGGGAGGCTGCCATCTGCCCAGAGTTCCAGGCGACACCTTCCCTATCGGGTTGCCCCAGGAGGTGGTGCAGGGAGTGGGGGCTATGTGTGAGGGTGAGCATCAAGCCCCCTGTCTACTCAGGGGTCCAGAGATAAGATTACAGCCCCTGGAGGGGCACCCCACAGCATTAGCCAGGCCTTCACACATGGCGAGTCCCGTGTGCAGGGTTGCTGGCACAACCAGGCTCTTCACTTTCAGGGAAAGGCCTTTCAGAGTCACTCCCATCGTCCTCCCAGGCGCCCACAGGCCCGCCTGGCGGGCAGACTCGGAGCGGGAGGCTTGAGTGTCCGGCTGCTTAAAAATTAGTGTTGATCGGCACGCCCCTGGGAGAAGCCACGCCCCAGGTCACAAAGCACCCTTACTGTGATGAGGCAGACCTTGTCTTTCTCTGCCAGCATGGTTCAAAGGTACCGTGGGCATGAGGAGGGCACCTGTCTGCTGTGTGGGCCCCTCCCATCCTCACCCCCAGCAAGGCAGGATGTCCTTCGGGCAATCAAGGGTACAGAGAAGGGACACTTTAGATATTTATTATTTATATGTTTTAGTCCATGACTAATTAGTAGGTGCTGTTTTTGCAGCTTGTCGATTATGTTCTTACTAACTAAAGCTGCCTTTGTTCACAAAAGGCCCCTCCCCCCTTCCTCCATCTCTCTCTTGCCCCTACCCTCTTCTCTCCCTCTGTCTCTGTCTGTCTGCCCCCGCCATTCTCCTGTCCTCAGAGTAAAGCACACCATGAGGGAAGGTCTGAGCGGCCTCGCCCCGTGTGCACCTGGGTCTGCCTGCCTTTGGGAACACGGGAGTCCAGCTTCTCCTCACCCGGGCGTCAGCACCCACTGCCCTGCCCTTCTTGGGGAGTGTTTTCCAAGCCCATCCAGAGGGCACCACAGGAGAAGCCTTGTGGGTGCAGAGTGCCCTGCAGAGGGCTGGGGCTGTCCCGCACCCCCGGCCACCTGCAGCCAGCCTGGCAGAGGGAACAGGCTCTTCCTGAGCCCGGGAGGAAGGGGGAGACCCAGCTTAGGAAGAGGGTGGTCAGACCGGCTGGAAGTGGGCATCCTTAGCAATGGCTCAGGGGATAGGCTTACAAACTCTGTGAGCCAGAGCCTGTGCCAGGGGGGTCCCAGAATCCTGGCTGTCGGCGTCCTGGGGACACTACTTTCCCGCCCCATGCCCACCCCTGCCTGGCCACTGGGTGTCTTATTTCCCCAGCCTTCTTCTCGGTGGCTTTGGGGGCGCACCCTGACATGTCACTGCACGCAGGGTCTGTAGACACTTGCACATATCCCGCTGCCACTGTGACGGTGCTTCCCTGCGGGGCCAGTGGAGAAGGGCACACATGGCTGTCTCGGGGGCCAGGCAAGAGTGTCGCTGTGGTCACTCATGGTGGACAAGGAGAACTCTGTCCAGGCCGAAGTGCCTAGTGTGAGGGTGATCGTTTCCTGAGATACGTCATCCCCTGACTCGGGGTGTCCTCCCCGCCTGGGAGGACACGCCTGGAGTCTGGTAGCCAGCTGTCACAGCTGCATAGGAGGGTTTCAGAAATGCCTCTGCAGCCTGGGGGATGAGTCAAGGCCCCGGGGGACTTGGGATTGGGGTAGAAGGCAGCACTCAGTGTCTCTGCCCCACTTCCACCCGCCCAGCAAGCTCGGGGCAGACGGCCAGCCTTCTGAAGCCCACGCACTGGTCATTGCCATGAAGACAGCTATAGGCCTCCAAGGGAGAAGGTCCCCGTGCTTTACACAGTGCCCTGTCCACCTCTTCAGAGAATGACCCTCTGGTCAGAGTGCCATGGCCCGCCACTGCGGTGGGTTTAACCTCAGTGCTGGCAGCGCTCAGAGAGGAGGAGCCAGGCCAGTACTCAGGCCTGCGGTTCCTCATGGTGTGCACCTGGGCTCAGAGGAAAGACCCTGCACCCTTCTGGGTCTCCAGCTTACAGGGTGGGGGGGGGCCTGTCAGAGACTGGCTAGAACCTTGATCTCACCCCCAGGCCGGTGCAGATAAAGGCAGTAGTGGTGAGGTGTGGGACACGAACCAATCCCCCATTCCCAGCCATGTTCACCGGGACTCCAGGGCTCCAAACAGCACGAAGGCAGAGGCACAAGGAAGAGCTGTTGGTGGTTGCCAAAGGCCACCCCCACCCCTGGGTCAGAGCCACCCTCTTGAGTAGTTGGGAACGGGTCCCCTGTAGAGCTCAGAAGACAAAGATTGGTGAGTGAAGCTGGTTCCCGGAAGACAAAGGGGAGTGATGGAGACTGGGGAGCTGGGCTCAGTCCCAGCTCAAGTCTCCGACCCATCCATAGCACCAGCCACAGCTCAGCCCAGCGCGCAGTCACAGTGTAGCAGGATCACCCCCAGACTGTTAACAAGAAATGGGATTTTTAAGTGTTGCGTTTCGCTCTCCCTCTTTAAGCAGCCAGGAAGTCGAAGGAGGGAGCGGGTGTTGCCAGTTCAGCTTGTGCACACCTGCTGCCTGGGAAGTGACGGAGCATGAGGTGAAGGCATGGGAGTAGCAGCTTAGAATCTCTTCCTGCAGTTTGCTCCCCCACCCCCCAGAGAAGAGCCCGTGGAGAAGCATATCCTGTGAGGGCTGGCAGGGGCAGCTCTCCAGGTCCCGAGGCCAAGACAGCCGTGCCCAAGGCAAGACGAAATGGAATCAGAGACCTCAGCTGCCCGCCTTAGGGCAGTGTTTCCCAAAGAAGGCAGGGCCACCTGGCAGGATCCAGGGGCGCCGCGGAAACAGATACCAACTCGCTATCCTGGATTACGCGCTGTAGTACAAACGTTGTCATTGCCAGGGCAAAGCCCTGAATCATTTTGTCTGAGAAGGGCGTTAGGCCAAATAAGTTTGGGGAGCGGCTCACATCTGTCCAGGCTCACACCTTGCAGGGTGCCATGTGCAGCCAGCCGGCCAGGGCCAGTACAGGAGAAGGGTGATGACAGGTCAGGCCCCCGGCTCTCTCCAGAGCCCCAGGATCTGTTTGCAAAGAAGCCATGCTGACCTCTGCGTGTCGGGGTGCTTGAGTCAGCCCTGTCCTCTCGGCTTCTGCCTCAGTGACCTGACTTTGCCCAAGGGTCTACCGCAGGGGCTACCTCACTGTGTCTATTGAGAAGTTTACCTGGGTGGGGGAAACAAAGGTGTCCGACATCTCCTTCCAGCTGAATGTACAATCTATGCAACTGCCCCCTCTCTATCTGTCTGTCTCTCTCTCCCCCGCCCCTCTCTGTCTCTGTTTCAGAAGTATTATTTTTTTACCTTGCAAACAAGATACTGTATAGGACCCTCTCAAGACTGAGGAGGGCTCTCCCGCACCACCTGTGTCTACCCCGCAAGCTATCTTTGGTTTAGTTCACGCAGGGAGAAAGTGGTCCTCCCTCCCCTCTCCACTGAGCTGGGAATCCCCTGACTGCCTCCTCTCCTAGACGCAGCTCCACCCCTCTGCCCTCCCTGCCTAACATCCTGGCTTCTCCCTGCCTCTCCTTACTCCACCCTGCTTCTCACCCCACCCCCACACACAAAGCCTTAGGTTCCTCCTTTTTGAAATGTGGCCTTAACATTATTTTTGGAAGCTGACGAGCCTCTCCCTCAGATTCCTGCCAATGTCCCAGAAGGAAACGCGATCAGAGCATGCGCAGCTCCTCCATCCCCACGCCAGGGGCTGCCAATTTGCAGTTTGCAGATGCAAAAGACATCACAAGTGTTATCTTTCAGGAAAAAAAAAATATATATATATAAAACCATATATATATGGTTCTTCTATCTTCACCCAAGATGAAGGCTTGGGTGCTCAGAGGAACCCTAGCCAGCTCCTTCAACACTCCATGGGGCACAGGGCCCCTGGACCGGGCTGGCTTAATGGCTAGCAGAGTGCTCCTGTGGCTCCCAGAGCCCCTGAAGCCTGGTGACTTCATGTACTTCAAGGGTCAACCAGGAGAGGTTCCCAATTTATCTCTGTCCTTCCTGGCTGGCAAGGGATCGAGGTAACTATCCTCAGCGGATGGGTAGTGTTCTCCCGGGAATCGCCTTCCCTGCTACTTCTCCTCCCATCACGCCCCTGCGGATGGAGGCCAGAGACCAACCCCAGGGTCTCCACAGGGGCTTCGCTGGGATCGAGCGCGCTGGTCTCTGTCTTACTGCTCTTCATTGGCATTCTCGTGTTGCCCACCGTGTCCGTCTGGGGTTCACAGGCCTCACCGTAAGTCATTACCGTCCTTCCGTCCTTTCTCTTGTTCAAAGACGTGGTGATACAGTTTTCTAAAATAACTATTTTGTTATAGATCACGATATGCATAAACCTGTACAGAAATATTTTGTAACGGATGGATTTTTTTAAAGAGAGAATCTGTAAATAAGGTTTTAAAGAGAGAGGCTTCAAATGGCACACACTAAAAGATGTAGATATTTTGCTATTTATTTAAAGACGAATTTTAAGAGAGATTGAACTATCTGAAATTGACCCGTCGTCACAGTTCTGACCCTCCGAATGCGTGTTCCCACAGGTAGAATGTGGGGCCCGGAAGTGAATGCACACCCTCCCCTCCCCCGTTTTTTGCTCCTTTTCTGTCTTTTCATTTAGCAGGGAAAAAAATCAAAAACAAAACCAACCACCACAACAAAAAAATGTGTGCCTTAGCTGTATTTTTTTTGTCTAGGGGAGTTTGTTTCTGTCTGACAAAGCAAAATTTTTTGCAGAAAACAGTGGATGTATTAAATACTGTATCATACCAAAAACACCGCAGGTGTATATAAATGCTTCTGTCATACTGTGTTTTCAGATGCAGAATTTTAAATAACAACAATAAATCTGTCTTTATGGAACAGCCACTGCGTGGCTTCTTTTTTTCCAGCAATGTTGTGCCTCTCAGGTGACAATCGGCCGCCAGGTACATGATGGTTGGCGGTTCGAACCCTCGGCACCTCTCCACAGAGGGAGGCCGAGGGTGCGCTTCTGTGAGAATCACAGCCAAGAAAACTCTGTAGAGCAACCGAGATTCCACCCCGGAAGGCCAGGGCTCGGCTGGAGTCAGAATTGGCTCTCTAGTCACGAGCTGGTGTGGTCTGGTACTGTCTGCCCTCGTCTGCCCAGTCCAAGCAAAACAAACACACCACTGCCCTCGAGGCCATGCCGACTCACAGCCACCCTCTAGAACAGAGCTAACTGCCCCTGCGAGTTTCTGAGACTGTCACTCTTTATAGGGTATACCTGTCCTCTCTCAGAGGGGCTGGTGGTCTCCAACGGGTTGCATTGCAGTTTGCAGTCAAATGTGAGACCACTCCTACTGCCCAGCCGGTCCCCCAGTCATAGGGATACTCGATAGCTTTTCTTCTGAACTGGGAAACTTTAGTCTCCGGGACAAACCTGGAGGCATGGGCCCTCCCTCTTGTCAGGAAAGGCTGCTACCACAATGAGGAGTTCCTTCCGGGGTGGTTTCCATGGTTACCAGGCTCTCCTGCTAATTAAACAGCTGGAGGTTCAAGTCCACTCCGAGGAAGAAAGATTGCACACCTGGCAATCGGATCCCCGCCAGGGACAACCTAGGGAGCACAGTTCCACTCAGACACACACAGGTCTCCAGGGTCGGAGTCGGCTGCTGACAGTTGGTACCATGGAGGATGCCCTAGCTGAGGCCCAGATGGAGGGCAAGGAAGGGATGTGCCAGTGCTCTCTACCCAACCAGCTGCTGGTTCAGCAAACCCATGTCCTTGTCATGGCACAGCTGGATGTATATTTCCAACTCCCCTGTTCCAGGTGAGGTCATGTGACCACCTCCTGACCAGTGGGTTGTGGGTACGTGACACCTTTTGACCGAGTGAAAATCTTCCCCAACAGTCGCATCTCAAAGGCTTTGAATCCTTCCGATGGGTGTCATCTGCTCATTGGCCTAGTCTGCTGTTCTCAGAAACTTCCCGAGCCCCAGTCTACAGGAGGGCGGAGCCCGGTCCTCCAGAACGACCAGTGGAAGCCCCCCTGAGTCACCCAGGGGCCTGTGACATAGAAAGGACGGAGCATGTCTTGTGCGGTGCCACAGAGAATGTATTTGTTAACACCACATAACCTGACCTGAGCAACCCCATCTGGAAGTGGAGACGCACGCAGGTGTTCCTTTGGAAAAGTCATAATGCTAGCTCCTTCATCTCATAAGCAATGGGCCTGTCCATGGCACGCAGCTTAACATTCAAAGTGCAAGGCACTGGGATGCCCCCCAGGGCACTCAAAAAGTGGAACTGAGGCCTTGGTGGGCACAACCCCCTTTTCTCCATTTCTGCCCGCCTCGGGTACGGGCTGTTCTTTCCAACAGGCAGCTCCCTCGACTTGTTGGAGAAAGAACAACACCAGAAGCCCCTGCTCCGTGTCCCACAAACTCCACAGCAACTACAACAAAGCAACACTGACCAAAGAAATGGCTCTAATCAGCCCACCTAGGACAGAGCCCCAGCCCTGGACCTACTACTGGAACCCAATGGTGTGCTATGATTGGCTGAGCAGAATGATAGCCCACCCCTGTGACCAGGGGATTGGGTAGGGAGCTTGAATTAGCAGTGTCAGTCACATGATTGGAGTGGAAGTGAAACATCTCCCCCGAGAGGAGCCTGGTGCTGAACAGACACAAACAACAGATGTCTGTCCATTGCGGCGGCCAACTCCAGGCCCAGGTGGCTGCACCGCTTGCTAGCCAAATTCTTTTCTGCTCCTCAAGCACCCGGATTGTCCTCACCCACCTCCTAGACACCTCTCCTAGGAGAAGGGTTCTGGTTTGTCTTGAGTCCATCAGTTCAGATAGAGCTCACACGATTCTTCGATGCTTCGCTAATGCAAAGTGGGCCGCACGGTGGCTTGTCCCTTTATCTCGCGGCCTGGTCACAGGACTCTTCTAAGCGGTCCACGGCACTGTGCTTTGCTAAGTGTGGTTATGGTCTCGGCGGCCTCTCCACGGGAGCAGAAACCTGGGGATCTCCACCCACTGCCCGAGGGACCCCTCTAACCCCCAGTGACCTTATAGGGGAGAATCGAACCGCCCCTAAGATTTCCAACATTACAGAGGAAACAGACTGCCCCATCTTTCTCCTGGAGTGGCCAGTGGGTTCCCACTTCAGACCGTTCACTTAGCAGCTGAGCTGTTTGACCACTGTGTCTCCAGGACTGT